CATTATTTTGTAAAGTACGAGGGCGGGATGATAAATAGCTAGCCTAGCATAGAAAAACTTGAATTAGTGTGTTAAAAGTATATTTATTTTTCAACATAGTCTCCTTGAAGCGCTATGCACTCCATCCATCTATGCTCTAAAGCCTTGATGCCATCCCTGAAGTGGTTTTCTTCAAGCCCTTCAAAATAACTGTCCACGGCAGACATCACCTCGCTATTATATTCAAATCTATATCCACCTAAAAAAAATTTGAGCTTAGGGAATAGATGAAAGTCAGATGGCGCCAGATCAGGAGAATAAGCTGAGTGTGGTAGCAAACCATAATTTAATTCTTTAAATTTCGCCATCACAGTGATGCACGTGTGAACGCGCGCATTATCCTGATGAAAGATTATTTTTTTTTTAGCCTGGCCGGGTCTTTTTTCACGAATACACACTTGTAATTTATCCAGTAGATCAGCATAATATTCGCCATTTATGTTTTGTCCTTTTGGAAGGTAATCAATCATCAATATACCCTTCGAATCCCAAAATACTGACGCCATGACTTTCCCGCTGATTTCACGGCTTTTGCTTTCTTTGGAGCCGGGGATCCTTTTTCCGTCCGTTGTTTAGACTGAAGTTTTGATTCAGGTATAAAGTGGTGAACCCAAGTCTCGTCTGTAGTAACAAACCGTCACAGAAAATCAGTTGTATTGCTCTTAAAGTGGTCCAAACATTCTTATGGAACGCGTTTTTGGTCAACTGTAAGCAATCGCGGCACCCACCTTGCGGATAATTTTTTCATACATAATTCTTAAGTCAAAATGTAATGCGCGCGTTCTTTAGAGATACCTACAGTATCAGCTATCTTGGAAAGTTTCAATCTTCGGTCAGCTAAAATTGCATCATGAATTTTGATCACAATTTCTGGAGTAGTGGTACTTTTTGGACGTTGTTCATCTTGGGTGCTGGTACGGCCACGTTTAAATTCAGCCACCCAATTTTTTATGGTCGCATATGAAGGAGCATTTTCTTCCAAAACATCCTTCATCTCCGAAAAAATCTCTCCACCTTTTAATCCTTTTAAATGCAGAAACTTTATCACAGCTCGTAGCTCAATTTTATCCATTTTGCAGAAAAAACAAAAGAATGCTTTTTGAAATGTCAATATTTTACAGAAAAACTATACGATCGATTTGAAATTTGGAACAATGGCAGCTGATGAACCAATGAGTAAAATACTAAGGAGATTTTATATCGTTATTATACAAAATATGGGTTGGGCTAGCTATTTATCATCCCGCCTACGTATATTAATTATAATTGCGCAACTACAGTGATTGGGGTCACAGGTTTAACTCTTGATTTGTTATTCCATAGTATATGCGATTATGTCACCTAGGTATATGTCTAAATATGTTCAAACGATAGTACATCAGGACACTAGACCAGGCAAAGATTCCTTGTTTGATTTTAAAAATTCTATCACCTACGGGAAGCTATAGCATACGTGGGAGACGTGGAGCTACGTTTTTAGGGATTTCTGGAATAAACAGTCATCAGTATAAAGCTACATATCGGAAAGTAACTTAGGGGCTATATTATTAATAAGAAGAATCAAAGTCCACGGAGTCAGTTAGTCTCTAATACGCTTCCTTTTATTAAGCACTTCTTGCCTACGTCACACTTTGGAATTGAAACGTGTACACAAATAAATAAATATTTAAATCCGTCAGCGTCGTCGCAGCGATCTTAGCGTTGCGTTCCAGCGGTTTAGTCGTTCGTTCCGAGTATTAAACCCAACCGGGGGGATTAGGAACGCCTAAGGCTGAATTTATTCTAACGATCGAAAGAGGCTTTCACTTGCCTACAGAAAGTTTGCAAAGTTCACTCGTTTTGTGCTCACTGTATTATAATTTAACTCTGACGGAGTTAATAAATGCGCTCCTAAATTACCGAAAGTAATAAATTATATGTAACGTTGGTATATATGAGTGTAATTTTAAAGTATTTCAAAGAATAAGCAATATATATAGAACTATATTCCTATATCATTTCATTATCTCTTTGCTCCTTAATTGTGACGTCACAATTAACTAACTAACAATTTTTTTAGATTATTATATACAAATGAAACAACTCTTAAACGGTTTCATTACACAAATATGTATTACAAATGCGATGAAACCGTTTGAAATTGTTTCATTTATGGATAGTGCGCGTGAAAATATTAGAAATCAATATCATATATGTATATATAATTATTTAATTTATAAATAAACAGATTAAGAAATGATTCTAAATATCAATAGTTAATAACTATATAGTAAATAATGTATTTGTGTTCTTATTAAATTTACAGGACATAGATAATATTCTAAATAGATTTATGTTGCCGTCTACCCTGACTGGCTCGTGTTGATAACTGCATAATTATAGGCAGTATAGCATGTTACCCCTCAACTACATATCTGATAATACTATCATTTTCATACCGGCTCTAATCGAATTTCTAGGGCGCAAGTTCCGGACTTGAAGAACAACAAAGACTCCCACCCTACCTTCCCTCGTTCCCTATCCTGCCGCCGCTGTCCTGCTATCCCTGACTAACCTACCATTTTTGTTCCTGAGTTCGTGTTTCCCCTTCCACATCCTGCACCCACCTCGACTTCCACCAAAGACGGTATCGCGCAACACACTATACTATTAGTTGATGACAAAGAATCCTACCCTAACGACCCTGATTCTAAATTCAGTACTAACCTGAAATTTTTATTATATAATTCAATTTCCTTTTTATTTATATATATAGTTTTATTGTAACTTTTATTGACATAAAAGTATATAGTTCACAAAATTTTCAAAGTTTTATTGCTCAGACTGATAATACCGTAGGGAGTGTTATTTGCGATTTTAAAACATACATACCACCCTAAAAACCATTTATAATATTAGTAGGATTTAATTTCAACCCATTTGGTGCACCCGAGATGTGTTTATTTAATATTTTTCTATAAGTTTAATATCAAAGGAGCATTGTGGATGCAAGGTTTATGAAATAAATAAATTTTCTTTTTCTTTTTCAGCACCCAGCTGGTCCTGTACTTCTGAACCAGCACGCCGGCTGAGACGCCCCAACCGCCATGAATGCCTTCATGGGTTATTGTGCCTGTCTCAAAAGGTTCCTCGTTAGATCGATTGTTAGTACCATACTGCTTTAAGTTCTTTTACTTGTTTTTTTTTCATACATACATATATTTCAAACGATCGAAATATGTCAAGGCATTATATAAGTGAATATCCGTCACAAAATTCTCATTCCAAATTAAGTTCATGTTTTAACAGCAAAATACTGTATAGTTATGAGGATGGATATGAGGGGGGCAAGAAACACTCGCTCGAATTACGAAATATCTTTGTCAACTACTTTTGTTGCTCTTAAGAAATAGTTTTAATTGAAGAAATTTAGTGTTTATAATTTATTTTAGCATTTTTAATTACAAAAGAAGTGTGCGCTCTCTAATTTTTCAGGTTAAGATAATGACTTTATAGGTTGTACGCTGACAGATCACACTGTAATCCGGAATCTATCTTTTAGGATAGGAAAGAAGATCATGTTTTAGGAAACGTGTCATCGATTTTATTGACAAGAATAAGTACTTCTTAGTTCGAGAAGCGACCCGGACGTTTTGAAAAATAAAACTTAAATTTAATTATTAAATTAATTAAATTATTTGTAGCTAGATATAGATTTGCTCACGATATCGTATCCATAAGCGGGTATACAGTCATACTCGGTGTTATAGGATAGGCACGTGTGTAGATTATAAGACGTTTTGTTTTATCGTTAATTTTTTTATCTAACGTTATCGAACTAAATTCACACAGTATCAGAGATGAATAGATATGTATACCATAATTTAGATATATATCTACGCTATTCAATGTCGATATTAATGTTATATGATAACAATTAAGAGGATATCTTGTACAATACAGATGAAATACGTGATGCGTTGCTGTATGTACATTAGTACAAAGCTTTCTAATACATTAACATAAAATTAGCTGTTTTTCCGTGCCTTCGCCGCGTCATATGTTACCCGCCATTTTGTGGCTTACTATAAGTGAATTGGTTTTTAAAACCGATTCAGTGCAATTTCAACTAAAAAAAAACAAACAAATCTATGCTCTTTATAAAAAAAAAAATCAGAAAGCGTTTCTGTAATGTCATTAAATACATATATATTCTAAGTTTTCTAGTATTACTGATACAGGATAAATAATTCAGGACTGCGAAGCGGAGCGGATCGGCGCGACGTCAACGGGCCTTCGTTGATTGGGCAACTATAAATATATCTTAATTTAATTATCTAGTCTATTATAGCAATAAGTCTTCTTTCAATAATATAAAATTTTGTAATTATATTTCTTGATAATATTTTTCACGTTTCTTTTAAGGAAAAATGTAAATAATATGCCCAAGCCTGTGATAAGAGCTTATAATTTTTCACATCAGTTGCTGTGCATTATACTTTCACTGAAATATATTGCGAAGTAAAAAATAGTCTCGAACTTGATGTTAAGCACAGCGCTGCAACAGCATAGACCTTCAATTATTTAAAAACCTTTATTACTTTTTGAAGTAGATAGGTTGTAATTAATCTCTTATGACGTAATAGGGAATTCGTTCTCTGTATATATAACTGTTTTTATATCAGAATCGTACTTTCTGTAGTCTCGACGTGAATAAAGATGTCACGTATCATATCAAGTTAGAATTAAAGTTCAAAGAACACTATCAAGATAATGACGCACTGACAATGTCTCTCATCACCCCAAATAGTGACATGTTGAGGAAAAAAACGTTGATTCTGTAGGTACAGATACACAATGTCTATATTATTATCGTTACCAAATCAAGTAGGTAATTATGGCAATAAGCGATTGTGTGAATTCACCTTTTGTCATTTGTGTGATAGATTCGCATACCTGTTTGCGATAATGTTATAACATAGGTATACGATATTGACAGATAGTGCCGCAAACGCAACGTTGGCAGACGCACGCAGCCGGCCCGCCCGCCCGCCAGCCCACCACTCTAACCAAATTATTTTTATAATAAAAGGTGAGTCAAACAGCCGTTTAACTTAAAAGATGATAATTATAATTTATTTACCACACATGTAGCGCTTAAAATAATTTTCGTGCAACAGCCCTGGCTGAGATTGTATATTAAGTGCTTGGCTCGGCTGTATAAACTATATTTAAATTATACTAAATATCTTAATTAGAACTGAAACTCGTGTAATAGTCGAAAATATTTTAACTTCGGAGTAAAATGTATGTTTTAAGCATAATTGTAAATTAAATAGAATTTGTAGAACTCGATAGCGCAGTAATTTAAGTAATTCAGTCCCACTAGGTCCACGTGTTGGGGAGTGAATATTTTGTCCTCTTGTTTCTATATAGGTATAGGGAAACCCTTAGCGCCAGGAACGTGGACACGACTAGGATGATGAGGATTGTACCGGTGGTCGAGCTACTTGAGTATCCATTTGCATGCTATAAAGATATAACTAAATGGGTAAACTCACTGACTTGCAATATTATCTGCAAAATAATATCACAGTAACCCGAATTGAAGCAAATAAATAAATTAATTATTCATGGAACCCTCTACCATAGACAAGAGTATAAGTAGGTCGCTCACCGTCGCACCGAAACGTTGTTATAGTATGATTATTATGTGTTGGGTGGCTAGAACGTAGCATTGAGTACTTTTCACCTAGAAATACAGCCAGTTTTTGAATTGAGAAAAGTACAAAATTCAACTGATTGTAATCTCAATAACTTAACTAGGACTATTTGACGTTAAAGTCAAAAACTGCTATCGCTTTATCATTAAACAAGTAAAATTAGAAACAATAACCTGTTACAATGATGTTTAAGTACAGTTTGATACGTTCTTCATTTTAAATTCTCAATTCAAACCCCGGGGATAATCTCTTATTTGTTTCCCTTCAAGCAAACGCTCGGGCGAAGTAAGATAGAAATATATGAAATAATAATTTTGTGTGCGTATCCAGCGGAAGAAAGTAACCAATTATGAAATGGTATCATAATTATACTGTAGTTCCTTCTTAAATTGCTCGTAATAAATAAAAAAAATTAATAAGTCCAACTAATTCACCTTCAACAATTTTATTATTTGGTTACTTTCTCTTATTTTTTGGTGTTGGATAGATGTTTTGACAAGCTCTGTGGTGGTCGGCTCGCTCGTCTAGTGTCAAAGTGTCACCGTCTGATATCCCGGATTCGATTCCCGGTCATTATAGATCGTGGAGTTTTCTATATTGCTTCGGGTCTGAATATTGTACCACTAGAACCCTTGTCGTTACAAATGCTATATTTAACATTACACCGATACCTACTGACATTATTGTTGCCTTGCATATTGTAATTTATTATCTACTATTAATAAAGCTGACATTTTACTAAATTAAATTATTTTATAAATTTAAGTCTGACTTTTGTTTTTTAAGCTACGCTAATGCAAATATCGTTTTAAGTATTACTTCAATTATGACATTATTGTTCCTGACCTTTTCTATAATGCATGCGTATTGGACTTCGAATATTTTTTTCTCCATGCTGTTAATTTTTATATAAAAAGTTGTTATAATGCTTAGCGGTTTTGCAGTAATTGGGCAAATTAGTAAATATTGTGAAACTCAATCCACACTAAGGCTTAAAAGTAACAGGGGGGATATATGAAAAGCGAGAAAAACGAGAGAAAATGTAAAAACAATAAAATAGTAAATAAAAATTAAATAAAGAACGTAATGAAACAATATTATATGACTCCAGTGATGATTACATTTCGACAACGAACTCGGTGAAAGATTTAAGTGCTGCTGTGTTGGCTCTCACACATTGAAGGTCAAAAGTGGTTTAATTTGGTTTCTGAGCAATGTATGCGGTGTTGTGTGATATTAATACATTTATTAGATGCAGGTTTACCCTCATAAACCCTCATGTATATATACCCTCATGTACTAATAACATATTAGTACAACAATTGATTCGAGTGTTACAATCTCCTGTGATAACTGCACCACTTGCGCCTGATCACGTACTGATGTAATCACATGCTTCATCACAACACATCGCACCGATAAATAAACACAATCTCATTTTAATTTATTAAACTAATTCACTGTGATATGTGAATAAGTTTTACCTTCAACATACGTGAGCGTTATCTTCAATCCGTCACCGCCGACTTATCGTTATTGGAACATGCTTTGACGTATTTCTGATAATACTGAATTTTTCGTACAAAAGATAATATAGGTAACTAATGTCTAGTTAAGTACTAATACACAGTTGTACTCTGTACATATCTTTTTACTGTAGGGAAAACGCGTTATGCACTATCCCTTCCGCCTGGCGCCTGGTGCGGCACAAAGGATGGATGCTTCCGGCTCCTAATAGGCTTTTGGAGGCTTATACCTGTTTCAAGTTGTCGCCAACTCTTGGGTCTGTGGTACGATTCCCGATTGGGTCAATGCAGAAAATAAACTCTCGGTTCCAGGTGTTGTCTTCGTAGTTTCAGATACCCCATATTACGAGGTCTTGTGCTACTAATCTTGCAATCTGAGCAACTTATGTGATGTCGACTAAGAGTATTTCCGGCAAGATTAATAGAATATCTATAACATTTTTGCCAGGTTATTGTGTTATGTACATATGTAGTGGCAAGGTCACAGAATGATCACAGGATGCAGCTGGCCGTTTCATAGATTGGTAATTTTTCATAAAACCGGCGCCTAAAACTGATTAAATCATTTAAACTATATGGAAATTCACGTTTGGCCGTATCATTAATGTAGGATTATCAAGGTTTGAGAAAAAAATACTTTCTCCATTCTATCACGTAACCAACAGAAGTGACTCTTATAGGAAGCTTAGTTCAGTTCATAGATCCATAAAACTCTTAGTTTAGTGTTATACATAATTATATCACTAAACTTGAACAATTACATATGTATATTAATATTCTTGTTTTAGTAAAATAAGATATTAAAAAATGACTGATAATTATATATCTAAAGATATAACTGTATTACGCCTTTACTGCGACATTTATGTACACTCGTATCTATAGTCGAGCGAAGTAATTACTTGAAAAAATTTGATAATAATAATAGTATTCTAACTATTAATAATTCTTGCTTATCATGAATTAAAAAAACACTCGAAATCAGCACCTCTAACGAAGACCAAAGTAACAATTTTACGACAAGGTCCCTAATGCCTGGCCATAGCCCGAAGCTGTCATGTAATCAGACGTCTATATAGTTAAACGCAGATAATTCATTGATCTGGCCAGGCCACATCATGATGTGGGCAGCATTTTACGAAGTGTATTAGGAATTGCTCAATTCTACTATCTGGCCACGATATGTATATATTATATTCATAATAATAATCAGCACTTAGCACAATCTCGCGGTATCCACTAGTTATTAGTATTTAATAAAACTACTCTTAAACTGTTTAAAGCTGATTAACCTGCGAAGGATTTGAAATCTCTAAAAATTTTAAATAAAAACGCGCTTAAAGTATGCTTGAAAAAATGTTATATAATTGTATTTGTAATCTATTTCGCGGCACTAATTTATTACTAGTAATTCCATTATTTTAATTATGTTAAACATAGCACTTAGGCACTAACTAAATTATTGTTTTGATGGCGTCCAGTCCACTCGAGGTGGACAAAAGTTATATAATTACATAATTACAGTGTTGAAATCGTAAATAATCTGTACCGAGATCACTTGCTTGCCAGCCTTTAATGTACTAAGAATCCTATTGATACGGCTCAGAATCGAATTCAGGACAATTTTTGAATTACGTAAAAGTGTTGTCAGAGTCAGAGCACAAACTGTAGCGTTGTGTTCGTTGCGGTTAAACATATTCACGTTTTCCCTATTAATTTTGAAGATAAAAATAAAAAAAATATTAAGAATTTTTTCCTGAACAATTAATAAAATCGATATCTATCTTTGCGTCTTGAGATATGCGAATAACAATCAGTCGGGCTAACTCTTTATCTTATACTGGTGTCTTACGTAAAATTTTAAATATCATGTACAAGATAATTCTGATTTTCCTCAAAATTCACTGAATATATGCTGCTTTTTTGTTCAAGTGTATTGGATATAACTAGTGTCTGCATTCGCTGGAAAATTAGTCTTGTAATTGTGTAATTAATGCTATCAATGATTCGATTAATCATATCAAATACTCAATATACTTTATTGGACGATAGCAACTTATCTTAACAATTAGAATACACTAGAAAGTCATGTTGTCTGTCTATTATAAAACTATAGATCAAATTACACGAATGTGCCCATAAACTAAAACACCGTAAAGGACGTGCACATCACGTCCAGTCAGAGCGCAACAGATAGGTGTTGATGATATTTGTATGGTACAATTACTTAAGGGGTTTATCTTTAAATTAGAGAACCACTAAAATAATTGTATAAAAGTAAACAACAACATGTAAGACAATACTTGTATTAATGAAGCAATGCCAGCGGCGTGTAGGTTATATATATATGAATTCATCTTAGAAATAATCGTAATATGAAGAAAAGTAAAAAATATAACTAAACAATTAAAAGATATATTTTATTCCTAAAGTGAACGCGAAAGTAAGTAATTGATACTCTTAATGATTTCTTCCCGAGCTTGATCCTATCGGGTCTCGTACCTCAGGCATCTGACAACTTCACAATTAAGATATATTTCTGCGGTTATAGTGTTAGCGAAATTTTCCAATATATATAAAAGTGAAAGGTCATCGACTCTCTCGCTCACTCACACTTGTCACTCACTGACACTCATCACGAAATCTAAGAAACTACAAGTGCTAGGAGTTTCAAATATTGCATGCGGATTCTTTTTTAGGATGTAGCTGCTCACTAAGATGGGATTTTATTAAAATTCAACCCCTAAGGGGGTAAATTAAGGGATAAAAGTTTGTATGAAACTTCGTTACTACAAGTGCTAGGAGTTCCAAATGTTGCATGCACGTTCTTTTTAGGACGTAGCTGATCACTAACACGGGATTTTATGATATTCGGCCTCTAACGAGATAAATTATGGGATGTAATTTTGTCATTTCTGGACTTAAAACAAGGTCACGCGGGCACGTGTACGTGGGCCACGATGGAGTCCCTCGTCTATCTCGAATCCTCAACCACTATTGTAATCAAATAGATATGTTTTTAGACTCACCTAGTAAAATAAGAAATATTGTAATTGATCAGTGAAAGACACACTATAAGTATTTAAACACTGCATTGATGTAAGTAAGTGGTGTCTGCTTGTAATTAGTTTATGTACTCTAATTCTAAATTAGATGTTATTATTATCCGTAAACTACAAATAGTGCATTAAACTGTAAGTAGATCTAATAAATAAAATAAAAAATATTTTCCTTCTTTTTAAATATCGTGGTTAGAAGCCACGGAATTACACTGCGTCGGTGGCAACTGATCAAAACGACACACCGTCGAGAGCACACTATGCTCCATTATGGCTCCATTAGTGGTTAGGGAAAATAAATAGAGTGAATGGTAAAAGAGCAACGCAGGAAAAGAGTAATATTTACTATTTAGTTATAGGTATTTACTTACTATGGTATTCACTATTTACTGCGCAAGGATTGTTAAAAAATCTATAATGTTCTAAGGCAATTTAGAACCGTATATTTCTCAAACCCTACACAGGGTGCTCTTCTTAACTTGGTGATATTGATAGAACTTCTACTTATACGTATATATGCTAATGTAAAGGTAATTATATCTATTTTGCAATCTTTGTTCTAGACAAAAATGGCGGAGGTAAAGAAGTACACGATGGCGGAAGTGGCACAGAATAAGGGCAAGAACGGACCACTGTGGATAGTATACAAGGACGGCGTGTACGACCTCACCAAGTATACTGCGGAGGTGTGTATATAAATATTAACCCCTCCATATTAAAGTCTGCTTAAAACATGCCATATAAACATTACCTTTCTATAATAAGGTAAACGTATTAGGGACATTAAAATTATTAGGAACTTCATGGCAGAGTGGTGAATGTGTTGGATCTGTGATGTGGGGACATTAATGAGCGGATCTGTCCCCTGAAATGAAGACGATCTGAGCTCAGTTTCTTGAAAGATACAAGTTTCGTAGTTCCCGTTGGTTACCATGATTAATATGGTAGTCTTTGAGATTATCTTGTAGTTTTTAACTCCGATGCAAAAAGAGGGGTATTATAAGTTTGAGATGTCTCTGTGTGTGTCTGTCTGTGGCATCATAACTCCCGCACGGATCAAGTGATTTTAATTTAGTTTTTTTTTTGTATTAAAGGTGGCTTATGTGCGAGTGTTCTTAGATGTGTTTGATGAAAATTGGTTGAGTCGTTTAAAGTTGTGAGCGCTGAAAGTGGGGAAGAATAATCGAATGTCTGCAAATATACCCGAGTGGGGTCTCAAATGAAAGCGCACTGAACGAGAATATTGATGACTTATTACCAGAGGTCGGAATTAGGTAGAGTTATTAATGTACTTGCATCGAAATGTTGATATTAATGTGGACCTTCCCTACAAATGTGGCAACATCGCGCATATTGGTATTTTGCAACTTTGGACATCCGATGTCATTGATGTAAGTTTGGCAACGTCGTGCGTGCAGTAGTTTAAATTGTGTAAAAGTAAATAACTTTTTATTTAAAAAATCACGGGATTTTTTCTGCTCTTTAAAATTTATCTCGGGATTTGAGGCATATCCACTTTATTCTTTCGCTGTATGAAATCAGTGTAAGTACATGAATAACTCTACCTAATTCCGACCACTGCTTATTACTTATGATGTAGTTGTGTGTTGTTGTATGAATAAACTATTTATCTATCTATCTACTTAATCGAGAGTATTCTTAGCTTCGGTTGTTGAGAAAATTATTATACTTAAGAGTTGATGACTACTATAAACATTAAGTAACAATTATTAGTTATATAAACAAAATAAAGTAAATAATAAGTGTGGCGTAAAGTTATTGTGATAAAACCTATAACTGCATAAAATACATGTTGACGGTTTGACAATTTAATGAACACTGCAAAGGGAATTTTAGTAATCCTTAATCATCATTTGTAATACAATATACTCTATGACATTGTTCTTTTTAAATGTATGTTTAAAACTCAACAATAAGTGAAAGTAAAAGCGAACAAGCTTGACCTTAAATGTAATCTTTACCTTAAATATAAATTGTAAAATTTTTAAAAGCATGTGCTATATATTTTACCACAATAAGTTGCACTCAATGTGCCAGTAAAAGTCTTTTTCGTATTTAAGTCTATTGTAATAAATTTTGAAATGACTGTTTGTGTCATAAATAAATAAAAATAAATAAAACAAATTCGACAAGACTCTACATTATAAAAAAAATAATAAACCTAATTTCCTTTAAAAAAGTAAAAAACTAATAAAAGAAACTCAATCTTAAAGTACCTAAATATATATTAATAATTTAAAAAAATAATGGCGCGTTGGGGGACCGCTTCAAACTTACAATTTAATACATCCCCGAGGTATTTAAAAAAAATTACTAACCCATATTTAGGTACTTGAAGATTGAAATTATTTTATTATTATTTTTTTTTTTACTTTTCATAGACTTTATAAAAATTTAATTTATTATTTTGATTATCGTAACCAACATCAAACAAAAGGTATTATTTGATTAGCAGACGCTTGATTGATCGATTTTTTTTTTTATATTAACAAATGAGGCAATCAGTCATATTCTTAAAAATAATAGAAATGTTCTAATTAAGGATACTTGATAGAAAAAGCCTTCTTTATTAAGTTCTGAAATTTAAAATAGACTTCGAGGATATTACAAAAAAGTGATATAAATAGCTTTCATTGAGACCGTACGGTCCCGACCGCACGTTGAATTGTAACAAGTAGGTAACGAGCTGTTATATATATTTTATGAATAAGACACTCGCCCACATTTAAAATTCATTTTCGTGGATTAAATAAAATCATTTTTTTTTAAAAGCGACAATTCGTTTTCCTTATAACAGAGCGTCAGCAATATTCCACTTATTATTTTAAAATTTCTCTATAATTGTACTAAAAGTTAATGTTTTACCGATCGCCATACCGCGCCATACAGCGCGTACTCACTGATACCGTTTCACCATATTTTCTACTACCATTATTTCACCATAGTTATACTTTATTTTTCTATAATTTTATTAATATAAAGAGACTCAGTGTTAAAATAAGTTTAAGAACTTTGTTACTGCAGTGACTAAATAAAATATATACCTTATATTATAATTGCCCACTCTCTCATCAATAAGGTGTATTGCCCGTACAGCTACCGTACAGCTGCCGTACAGCTCCGTACAGCTGCCGAAGTCGTGATGTCTGTCGCATTTGAAAAATGTAATATCCTACATGTGACTGACGCGTTATCTGCGGAAACAATCTTCCTTATTATGCCACTACTCCAAACTGCTACTGAACGAACATTTCACAGTTTTATAATTTAATCAAATTTTTATATTTAGTGTTTATATGATTCAATTCAACATGCTGTTAAGAAACTAGAAAGCCCGTCAATAATATTCAGTACCATAAAATAAATAATTTCGAGTTTTTTATTATGGTACAAGCGAAAACTAACCATAACAGTAAATATCCTGAATGCTTGTGGGACATAATAACGTAGCGCCATCTGGACCTACATTATGAATGTTTTTATAGCTTCTAGTGAGTAGGTGATACAACAACACCATTCGTATACGTAATTTTGGCTATGTGAATGAATGATTCATAATTTTATTTACATTAATCACAACACACCTGCCAGCCTCTAGTAACGTACCGATTATGTATAAAACGGTTTCTACGCGTACCATCCATCCACATTGCAAATTCAGATAGATTGAGACAATAAAGTTCAAATAAAATAACGAGACGATTAATGTGACATTATATGTATGTTGGAGTCCGTCCACTTATATCTCGACAGAAAAAAATTAAGAACAGAGTTACCTGTAATTTACACTTTATTTAATTTCTTATTTTATAGTCACAATTTATATAAGTACTTTTACTGTTTTAAATTTTACAATAACTGAATTATTATTTGTTAAATACATAGTCTCGCCATAATATTATTACATAGAAAATATTTTTTTTATTCAGCGTAACATTTATTATTATTACAGTGTGTTAGTTAAATACATTACATTGATATAAAGCCATTAAAAATATATAAAGCTTATTCGATGTGGTCTCCATTGGCTGCAATACAGTCCATTCTTAACTGCCAAATGTATCAATTGTTTATGAGTAAGCCTTACTCTCTAAAACTAAACATAATACATAACCCAGCGGATTAAGATCTAGACAAGATACCAGTCTTGAGCTCTGATGAAGTACCTACGGATCGTTCGTCTCTAATCAAAATTAGATCCATCGAGCTTTATAACCTGGCGCCGGGTCTTTCTGGAAGGACCATTCATGGTTATTGAACATGGTGTTAAGGGACTTAAGTATTTTCTCGAGAATCGTGCAAGAATTGATACACTTGTGCCGGTGTTATGATGCCTTTTTCACAAAAATATAGCTCCGTCACTCCGTCATAGCTAAACCCCACCAAACCATCACTGAAGTCGGATAATGCCCACGTTGTACTCTGTTGACTAATTGTGAAGTTTCTTTACAGCTTTAAGCATAAAAACGGTTATTTTGTTTGTTAAAATATTACTCAATTGTAAAAAAAATCTCATCCGAACACAATTTTTTTCTCTTGACCTCCCTTTGCTGCTTAAGTATTCGTTTTGATTTTACCACCCTATTGTTTATTAAATTATCTGTTAAGAAATTATCAGTACGTCTCTTATAGACTGTACTCTTGAGTCGTCTTTTAAAATACGTGACATGGTTCTAGGTGGCTATCTTCTGTTTTCGGATAGGATTTCTTCGACTTCTTTCTCTTACTGCTTTGATCTCCTTTTTGGCACGAACACTACGTGGACGGCCAGATCTTTCTCTGTCACAAACAGAGGAGGTTTCATTCTATCTATCAATGCAGTACACAAATATTTGGCTTATACCTACCAAGCGTATTGAAAATTGTGTTTGGCTCCATACATACTTTATGTACTGCAATCACTGCGATTCGGTTCTCTTTATCACCCCACTCCATTTTAATATCACAAAATATTATAAAATGTATTGGCAAAGACAACGAACAATTGGAATTTCAAACGAGACTGAATTACGTGAACACATATAAAATTACATTAAACAAATAAAATAATGTTTTGTTTCCAGCACCCCGGTGGAGTGGACTCTATTGTGGACGAGGCGGGCACCGACGCCACTAAAGCCTTCGACGAGTCTGCGCACACGCCTGACGCTAAAGTTATCATGGCCAAGTACAAGATCGGCGAACTTGTTGAGGTGATACACAATATACATTATTCAATCAAAGCTTTTATAAGAACTCGTTAATATTATACAACTTTGTGGGTGATATTATATTGCTATGAAGAATCAACAACAAACTCGGCAAGGGGTCATATTTTGATCCATATAAAAGTATATAATTGCGTGAGACTCGTCAGTGGAGGTTTGATTCTGAAATACAAGATATTATAATCAAATCTTTTTGCACAAAGATGCATTTGTCAACCATTATAAGTCACGACAATACATACATTTTCCATTTATTTTTCAGGAAGAGAAACGATATGACGCTAACGGGAAGAAGAAGAAAAAGGTGGTGCAGGCAGCTCCAGAGGGCAGCAGTAGGAGTTGTATGAGTGTTATCACTTGCGGCCTGGTGGGGTGATGCGCTCATGAACAAAACAACATTGAAGGGTCTACAGAGATAAAATACTTAGTTATATAAAAAAGGAGTCTTCTATTTTCGAGATTACAGATATGCATTTCATATAGATATTTTGGTGCTAAATAATATTGTGATTAATTATGTACCTACTTACTATAAATTAATAATAAACCTCTTCTCATTGTTGAAATCGTAAATAGGTATAAGTAGAAGATAAGTCATGATTGCCTTTGTGTTATTTATAAACTTTTATTTTTATTTTTTTGTTTTATTTCTCTAATTTTCTCATCAGTAGGTAACTACTCAACTAACAATTGTTATCGTAAAAAAGCCAGCAGCACGTTTCGATTTCAGCTGTTGGTTGTGTAAAAGATCTTTAATATAAGCTATGAATGCTATAAATATCGTAAGATAATTGGTTGAAAAGAGTCGAAAAAAATAGATTAATTGCAATTTAAATATTACTAATACTAAAATAGTCATTATTACGGCATTAAAACGTCACATAAGCTATTCTCAAGTCGTTTAAAACTACTTTTTATGACCTAATTGTCGTAATACAGCAGTGGGCTTGCAACCACTCGTTAGACCGAAATAAATTATAATCATTATTTTCAAGTAAATATTCTACCAAATTACATTTCATAGCTACAGCACAACGAGACTATCACAATGAATTTGGCTTTTCAAGTTTACGAGTAATACTCGACATGCTACGGAACCTTTCCCGCACGAGTCCGACTAACAGTTGGCTAGTTTTCTGGGGCTCTATTTTTGAATCATTCGTCTCGCGTCGAGCGCTCGTTTTCTACTGATTTTCGTTCGACTTAACAAATTCGCCATTTCTAAATCGCTCGACTGCAACGAATGGTATGAACCACTCGTCGCTTAGCGAACGTTGTATGCGAGTGATAGTAGAATACGAGCGCTCGACGCGAGACGAATGATTAAAAAATAGAGCCCCAGTACATTGATCCAAGAAAATGTCGGTCACAGTGCTGCCAAAGATTTTAATGTACTGTCATACCACTATTACGCTGAATAATGGCTTGCAAATAATATTTAGAGAAACATTAAAGCTTTAATAGACCATTTTAAAAAAAGTTTATTCTCAACGTCAATAACTAAGTCGAAGAAAGCTGTGCAAAGCTATCATATCACATTAAGTAGTGATAAATAGACAGGAGATGTTAATTTTGTCGAATAAACAGCTTTTACTCTTCAATAAAGCTGAAATAATGAAATGTCGAAAAGTTCTACAAAGGCTAGTCTCATGACAAATTAGCAATTCAAAAACTTTAAAAGAGACTATGGTTGATGAAAGTGATCAGACATTTTTATATATTATATTCATGTCGAGTCCACGTTTAATAAACATGTTTATAGAGCTAAATTGTCAAATGCAGAAAAAAACAAGATATGTGCTTGAAATAATTTAGAGCTATTTGAAATAATGGGATCTATCATGCAAGTGTTTTTAGATTTAAGTCGTAAGAGCGATTGTTTATACTATGTTTTTAATGGTTGAATATTAACGTTAAGGAAATTAAGTTAAGTTGGTATTTCGTTTCATCTTACTTCTTTGAAATTTCTTTTGGTGGATAAATTTGGAATAAAAATGGTAACTTGGTAAAGCTGCTGTCAAATCTACAATCATTATTCTTTATAATTCGTTAGACGTTGTGAATTACATGTTATAGTAGTAAAATAGATTATAGTAAAATAGAATAGATAGACGAGTCCCCATTCGATGACAATCAAAATATATTACAATATACCGAACAAAATAAAGCAAGTTTTTACTTGCTGTTTTCAACTAAAACCATTTACTGAACATTTAAAAACATACCTCATTAACAAATGCTATTATAATATTGACGAATTTTTTAATGATAAATAGGCATTGCAAACGAACGAAAATATATGTTTTAGGGAAATGTAAAACTTTATTAATTAATTTAGGTCTGAAACTGTAAAAAAAGGAACTGTTTTTTTGTTAATATTATTATTGTTATTATTATAATTTAAATGATTTAAATTTAAAATTATTTGAATTTGAATTTGCTACACCCTTACAGGGTGTCACATGAACTGTACGTATTATTGAATAACTTTATACTATGTGACATGCAATAAATGATTATTATTGTTTTTATTTAAAAAAATGAAAGGAAAATATGGACACAACATCGCTAAAATGTCGTATCCTATGACCAGAAGCATGGCTAGAGAGTTACTTAGGCCACAGAATTAAGGTCGTCGTACCCCTTGGATTACATAGGGCCAACAGAGAATGGAGAATTGTGACCCAAAACTGTTATTGAATGATGAATGATGCTTCATTCCTCGGCTCAGTTGCAAGGTGAATCACATATTTATCAATTTTTATACAAAAAACCGTTAAAAATGGACAAGAAATTGAAAAATGAAGAAATTAAATGGAGAGTTTAGTGATTTTTTCGACATAATGTTATATCTGTAAAGAAAAGAAGTACAAGTAAAGGAGGAGGAGTATTCAAGTCCATGTTCACGTCCGGTGCACCGGTTCGTAAATCGTTGAATGAATCGTACGATTATTAAAGAAATTCTACTTGAATGCGAGTCTGCATTAATGTGATTCGTGACGATGCATACCTAATAATGTAAATCGGATAAAACGCTAAGCATGTACCTATTTAATAATAGCTTTACATAAAAATAATGTCATGGTTATAAACGAATTAAGTTTTTATTGCTTTAAAATTAACTTCTAGAGAAATTTAAAAACAAAATCTCAAAATTTTAGTTTTCATTTTACTCAAAGCGACATCTTACATTTCAAGCTTGCAACAACAGCTAACCTTACCAAGCAGTTGCTACAATACTGAAACTGAATGGTGTAAACAAGTTATGATAGATGTCACCCTGTAGTATAAAAAAATTATTCGATTTGACCTTAATTCTTAATTTTTAATATGGAGTTATTTGCACACAATATTTTTTTTGTAGTAATAACTACAAACTAATTTGATGTTTTATCGATACGTACGAGAGGAGCTTTGTAATATTTTATCTTTAAATGACATATTTTGGCCCCGTTGGCCTTATTTAGGACTAGCTTATGGGTAGGTACTCACGACTTATTTTATCCCTTGGAGTTTCAATCACGCCAAAGTAGATGGAGGATTTCAAATAATTTTCGTATAACTAATATTGTGAGGTTATTTGGAATTTTGGAATGCAGTATGAAACAATATCCTTGTTCAAGAAATGTTTTAACTGTGGATGGTCGCCGGTTAGCATTTCTGAAGGATTTAGTAAAATATCAATATGCAATTTACTATCTAAGCAGCACAAACCATTTTCTTCTTTTTGCCATTTAGAAGCTTCACAAAAAGAACAACTTAAAGTAAACCTCTGAGAGTAGAAATGTGGCGTAGGCTTTACATGCCCTAAGACTACACTTGATATAAGAATTTGACAACTCTAGACTCATCAATTGTTTTTTTCTTTTTCATTTTCATATATTCTAAAGACTTTGTTACCTGCGTGTACGGGGTCAAAGAAAGTCGGATTCAAAATTGCCTGAAGGCAGAATCTTTGTGATATTTTCTAAGATCTGAAAAGCGAATTGCTCATTCTTGGAAAAATAATATCTTTTTTGGAAATTCCAATGGAGTCCACCCGGAAGTACGCAAGTCTAGTGTCTAACAGCCATACTTATAAACATTGATTAAAATTAAGACACCGCTAAAATGCCAAGCAATTTAAATCTTTACTTATAAAATTTCATTAAATAAACAGACCTTTTCTCTCTTTTTAATATTAGTGAAGATAGTATTCATAGTGTGCAATATCGCTTCAATTGTATGAGGGCTCGCCCGGCTCGATCTACTTTTGTGTAATCTCATATGCACGGGTATACTAATATTACCAAAACATCAAAATATATTCAGTTTGACGAAGAAATGTGGCAATATTTAGGACGACCTTTTCGTCCCAGTACGAATTTCTGAGTAAATTGATTTCATCCATTAAGAATTCCTGTGTTTAAGCATCATCAATGCGCACTGGGACCTCAGAATGGGCCCCACACGGCTCCACCCCGAAAATTAGAAAAAGAATAATCACCCATCCCATTACTTACCTTTGCGAACTTCGCTTAATCTTGGTAATCGAAGATCAAAGGCACTACCATTGGTACATACATATTGAAGAAGGGAAGAGAGCAAAAACCCACCACTTCCCTCTAAGCCAAATAATAAAAATATCACCCATCCCCTTACTAGCCTTTGCAAACGTCGCTTAAATTGCACACAAAATCGTAACACATAAACTATAATTCATAAAAAAAATATATTGAATTTAGAAAAAAATGTTGTATTATAAGGTGAGTGGAACATGGAAAGCCATGTGTCTTCGAAGTCTATATAGTATTTTCATATGAAAACAAATTCCTTCCACTCACACTAAGCTCTATCAAACTTAAGGACACAGACGAAGCGGCAAGTCACTTGTGACGCTAGTTTGATAATGAGGGACTTCATCTTCTTAAGACTTCGGTCGCTGTCATTAAAATTGTAATTCTTGCACAAAATAAAAGGTATTTTTTAATCTAAATAACTTTTTACGTTATTATTATTTTGTTTTGTGAATAATCATAAAATATCGTCAGTTTTTCTATGCAGGCCGGTGTTTCCTTGCAAGGCTTGCTGGGGTACCTGGGTTTTACAACGAACATTTGCAAATCATAGAAATATAAACACTTGGGTGTCTAGATATAAATGCATAATAGAAAAGTTATTATTTTATTGTTATTTATAATTATTTGATTAAAATATATTAGATTTGTTTTTTCTTCCTATATATATTCGAAATCGGTTAAATAGCTTTAAAGTTTTCAGAGATAAAGTACTGTAACATATTGGAGAGTATATTTATTAAATAAATAAATACACATAGCTTTTTGTAGTAGTGTCTTCGAAGATGAACATAAAAGAACTGTAAAAAAGTGAGAAATAATACTTTTCTTTTAAAAATAGACTTATTATTCAAAATATGCAAAAATAACACTCGCCGTTTATTTTAACTCTTTTTCGGAGCTCGGTTTAACGACATCTTATGCAACGTGCGCAGCCGCTGTGTTCCACAATAGTGCACCGATATTTTTTTTATATTAAGAACAAATTTTAGAAATCTCTTGTACATACTTGTGACGACCTCTTACACTCGTATCTATAGTCGAGAGAAGTAATGACTTGAGAATATGTCATAAATACGATAATTTAAGCAGATATATTCTTAATGAAACTGCCAGGGACAAAGTGAATTACTTTGTCCCTGGCAGTCTGTGATGAGACTTGTACCCATGACCTTACGCAATTCGGGCGACTGCTCTAATTACCGAGCTACCCAGGACCTAATAGGACTGACGAATTTTTCGAGCACGTTACTTTGTGACCGCAGCGACGTGCATCTCCGACATCAAAATTTCCGCGCTGAAAGCGCTTAAACCAATTTGTGCTACTCTCACAGAAACTGCACTCCGCTCCATTAACGTCACGGTTTTGCATTTTTACTTTTTGTATTAAAATGTATCGAATTTCTTCACTAGATTCACTTATTTTGACAGTAAGAAAAACAAATGAAAATCACACATTTTCCTTATTTGAATTCGGAGCTTTCTTTTGGAAATGTTTATTTTATATGAGAAAAGGCTTTTCCCCAACCTAATATAAGTGTTAGGCTTTTAGGAGTTGGTAGTAAATTACTGTCGCCACTAGGTGTTCCAGCAACAGACTCCCACACTGAACACCGAGTGATAGACTTGTACATATATCTACACCTATTACACAAGTCCAACGACCCAAAACTTAGATTCCCGTAACTTGTATTAACTAGTTGCCAGTAAAGACCTCGCCCTCGCGGTCCTGCATTATATCTATAGTGTAGTAAGAACTCAGCGTACGTAAATAAATAAAAGTCCCATTTATCCAAATCGTTTATTCAAGCAAATGAACATAATATGAACAAACTATAACATTAAATTTATCTACTTAATGATATTTACATTCCATACCTCGCTTACCTGAGTAGTGATTACCCTACGTACAATACATCTAGGACGCTTAACATTACCGCCTATAGAAATGCAGAATACCATTCCACAAGATTGCACACTATATCTATTTTATTAGTAAAATAAAAATATATTTCAAATAATTAATTTGACCCACCAATCTTGTGATGGACAAATCCTATTTGATTACGTAATAGAATTTATTCAAAATAATATTCTGCATTTTTATGTCAATTATTCTCTTACAGAACATTATTTATTATTGATAAGTGAATTATCAATAGGCTGTCAAAGTAATAAAAGGAGTGCCCGTTTAAATAGTTTTAGGAGACACAGGTATACGACATGAGAGAGAGAACAAATCTAGGCACAACAGTTCGCACGTCACATTTAAAGGCATCATTATTGCATTGGGCGTAATATCCAGGGGGTCAACCGCGTAACTTCCACGATATGCGCTTCACCATGATGTTGAAGCCCTCGTTTGTATATCGGTCACACCGCGGAACTTTCATACGAAACTAATTCAAGTTACGAGGTAGATCCACAGGATGAATCATTTCAAAATAGCCTCAGGTGATTTAGAAAAATAACATTGAAGGCAATCGAAGAGCACATCCATCACTACATCAATATGATCAACAACGTTTTGTCATATAAAACTTAAATATACCTTAACATTACGTAATAATGTAATTTAACTAAAACTAACTGAACAAAACTCTAACGCCATGTATTTTTTTTTAAGCTATATTCATAGGAATTGTGCACTTTGTGAAATATCCATATGAATAATGATATCAATTTAAGTTACGGATAAAACAGTATCTGCAGCAGGTTTGCATATTTACGCCGATTATAAGTGGAGTTACAGATATAAACAGGTGTATTCCTTTAGCGAGATACTGAGGAAGACGAAACATTTCAGATTTCAAGATGCGATATGCAATTTTTTGAGAGATACAAAAGATAAACAGTTAACATTTAAATTATCAGAATCAAACTTACAAGTAGAATAAAATCATACAAATTTGTAATTTTAATATTAACCCGAATTTGCATTACGATATTGGTGTCACGCAAGATGAAACAAGTCTCGCGAAACTAATTTCAGCACATTTGAAACTAGTTTCATAATGGCGTGAAATCAACATATATCTGTGACACTGGCTCCGTAAGGTTTGTCAGGCGCTGCGCAGATCGTGTCGTAACACTATATTCATCAAAAATATGCGCATGACATGAAACTATTTAGTGGCGGGGGAACTAATACTTGCATTGGACGTTTACAAGTGAAATTGCTAATAAAACAATACAACGACACTCTATTTCGCGCTAGTTTCGTAACGTAAATTCGGGTTTAGAGTTGCACGTATCAGTGATTGGTTTAAGATCACACATCAAAACTTCTAGACAAAATATACTATGCAGGGATTATAAAATTCATATATAAATATTCAAAGTGCATATAGAAATTAGTGCTTATTATGAGCAAATTATAGCTATTAATTAGATTGACAGATCCTGAAGTAGTTTATAATCCTGTATGTATATATTAGACAATAATGTTTTATTCTATCAATAATATTAATTTTAAGAGAGTAAATAAAATATTTTAGAAAACTCTATGAGGACACTTTCTACACAGACCCATGTAACATACAAAAACTCATATTCTATTATAATTATGATTTAAAATATACTTTAGTTCGATCGACTCACTATCAACGTTTCACATTTAAATTTACATTCTAGAATACCACTGCGTTTGTTTGTGTCATTAACATATAATTCGCAGTGGCATACTATCCGCCTTGATTCAGCACATTCCACTCTCATGTCACAATGTGAACGTATCCAGGCTCAGGCTCACTGGGGCTGGTTAGAGGAAGCGGCTTGGCTCGCCGACTTGGTGATAACAATAGTCTGCTTACCCCCTACACCAGATTTGCCCAGTTGCAGTACATTGGAGGGCAGTGTTATTATTTTGTTACCACCTACTGTGTTTGCAGAGACCAATTTCACGATTGTTGCGCCTGGGGCTATATTCTGTCCTTGAGCCGCACTCACAGGGACAGCAGGTCTATTTTGCACCATCGCCATCTTAGGAACAGTCGCCACCGTCATTCCCGTAGATGTCTTTACCAGTGTGACATACTGAGGCGCATTACTCGCTTGAGCGTTAGAGCCTGGCGTTTTCTTTATTATGACTGGTATTCCAGCATTTCCAGTCGCTTGACGTAAGACTGTAGCACCCGCTGCCACTGTAGATGTGGCGACAGTACCTGTCTGTTCGTTAGATTTTGCTGTTACAATTTTATACACTGGTGCTTTTACTTGCTGGCCTAAGGCGCTGCCGGCGATCTGAATCGTACCTCCACTACTGGCAATCACCGGAAGATTTCCAGCCCCGAGTTTGACAGGCACTCCAGCTGCTACTTTTGTCTGTATATTTGCCACTCCGGCTTGTATAGGTACGCCGCCCGCGGTCTTCACAAGAACGTTACTAGTACCTATCTTAACATTACCTGCTCCAAGCTTTAGGGGAACATTTGAGGTACCGACTTGTGAAACCTTTTGAACACTATTTGCAGTGATCTTGCCTTGCAAGTTGGTAGTTCCGATTTTGAGTGGTACTGGATTGCCCGTGAGCTTGACTGGAACATTCCCAGCACTAAGTTTGACAGGGACCCCAGTATTACCACCAGTTTTTACTTGGACAAATCGAGGAGTGCCCGCTGAAGAGCCACTGCCTAGAACAATTTGTGCATTTGATTGAGCTGTGGAAACGCGCACAGTGGTCGGCGTCGACACGCCACTTACAATTCTAGTGACGCCTTGAGGTGTGACAGCTGCCACCTTGATTTGCTGGGAAGACCCTGCTGCTGGTGATTTGACAACTGTTTTGCCTTGGTATGTAGCATGTTTTAGTGTCGGTGTATTGGGCGTTATCTTGACTGTAGCGGCACCTTGGGAAGGTACCTTGATACTACCTGGTAATATTTTCTGTGGCGTAGTAACCATGGGTGTAGCGGGTGACACCGCAGCAGCAATAGGGCGTACGGGTAACTCTGGTGTCTGGGGCAATCCTGATGATACAGGCGATGTCAATCCAAATGCTTTAGCGGCGGCGTCGGGTTGCGGAGTGATTGGGGAGACAGGAGGAGGCGCAGTCACCGGCTCCGCGGCAGGAGGGAAACGCGCTGGCGCCACTTTACCACATTTCTGTACTTGCAAAACATATGTAGTGATAGTATTCATTGCAGGCCAGCATAACTCCAATGATGTAGTACCAGCACGTACAAGTGCAACACGTCCAGCTTGAGGTGGAACACCGACCTCAAGGTACCAAAGATCTTTGCAGCAAATTTGGTTATTCCAAGTTTTCCTGTAGCCGTCCCGGCCAGACCAAATATAAAGTCTTGTTTGAATGGCAACAGCACTATGTCCAGCTCGTGCTCTAGGTACACATTCTTCGAACTTGTCTAGGGCAATGTTATCCCACGTCATATTTTCCAAATTAAGAGAAGCAAGTGTATTGGTGCATTTCCATTCTTTCTCATGGGTAGCAAGTTTTGATTCATCAGGTACTAGCGGTACCCATCCGCCGTATACATACATGTGGTGTCCAATTACAGTGGCAGTGTGAAGTGAACGAGGCAAGGGTGCAGGACCACCTACTTCAGGACGAGACCAGGACATGCTATCTACATCCAACACCCACAGGTCACCGAGACGGGATCCACTCATTCCTCCATAAATAATAAGTGACGATTTACCAGTATTTTTGTCTGTATAAGCTACTCCACTATGCGACTCTCGTGGTGGTGGGGACTGACCATAAGTCAAGGGTATATCCCACACTGTCATTGATGAATTCGGATACAGTTCCAAAGTATAAAGATCATTGAGATACCGAGGAATATTATTCTTTGGGTCATCACTTTCATTAGCTAAGCCTCCAAAAAGATATACCTTTCCATTCAAAAGAGTGAAACTATGACCTAATCTAGGGCACGGTGGAAGACCCTGCTTCGGTGGCAATGGCTTTAAACGTTTCCATTCCCATCTGGATGCTTGCAATTCATATAAATCGTTAGAATACTTGCCGTACTCAACCATACCGCCAAATACCAAAAGTCTTGTGCCGTCGACCACGAAGCCATAGGCGGCGCATCCTGGAGGCACTTCTCCCTTTGTAACAGGAACAAACCATTGATTTGTGGTGGTATTGAAGACATGGAGCTCATGAACGATTCCCTCATTTCCGCCGCCGAAAACTATCATCAAATCTTTGATGGCGACCGCGCGATGACCATGCCGAGGACGTGGTTGCGGGCCAGTAGGATTGTAAACTTTTTGCCACTTAAGTACCGCGTTTTCCTTCATTTTTACTATACATTTGTCGCTAAAAGCCTAACACCGTATGTATCGCTCAGGATGCGTATCTATAGCATAGACAATGAGAAACGTCGTAAATAAGCTTTGAAGAAAATATTCAGGTCAGTTGCAGCTTCGTATGCCAAATCAAATCAACTTTCTCTTTCTTACTAATGCGTATGTCCTATGAGTAAAAAAAAATCACCCTACACAGCTTCTCGCGTATAACAAAAATGGCGTTAGCAACAGCACTACCAACGTAATTTCAATAGAATTAGCGGCGTCGGACGTCAAGATCTTGTCTATGACTTTAATATAGTTTTTTTTATTTTGATTCATTCAGCCAGATTCAAATTAAATCTAGGTAAGTATTAAGTCCAGTGGCAATTTATTAATAATCTTATGGGCTATATAAAAAACATATTTCTTGATTATTGATAAGTTACACTTGGGTATTCAAATTTTGTTTTTCCTAATACTTCGTGTATACGTTTTTATTTCAAAAATGCGTTTAACATACTGTAGATTATAGTTATCATACAAAATTAAATGGTCAAAGAGGGGATACCGATGGTATCCCCTCTTGAATGCGATCTAGAGGGAGATGCTAAGGACGTGCGCTCCAGAGTTGGCACCGGTCTTAACGCGCCTATTCCGGCTCTCTTACTCATCTGGCGTAGTCCCAACCTCATGGAAGACTGCTTTAGTGCATCCGATCCCAAAAAAAAGGTGACCACTCGAACCCGTCCAACTACAGGCCGATCGCTATAACCCCTTTGCTTTCAAAGATAATGGAGTCCATTATCAACCATCAGCTTCTTCGGTACCTAGAGAATCGGTATGCGGTAATTTTTTGGCAGGCAGATAACATTAGAGTTTAAATCGACGGTGAATGCTCGGACTTACTGTCTATATAGATAGATAGATAAATTCTTTGTTTGCATCATACATACACAAAATTTAACAATTTGGATTTTACAAAATATTAGAAACTAAAACAGGACAATCAAACATTATGTGTATCGCAGCGATGCAAATGGGCGAAAACTCAGTGAGTATTTACTCAAAGAGCAAAGCACTGATTTTCAGTTTTTACCCTAATTACAAGTGGTCGCACTGTAAAAATTAAAAAAAAATCAAGAATTCACAAAGAAATTGATAAAAGAACTACAATACTAACCAGACACTACAAAAATACTAATAAATACTTACTAACTAAAATATGTAATAAACGTATAATATATATAGATTAATAAAAGAAATAAATAGATAGTAATACCCATTATTAATTCGGTTCATTTGTCAAGATCACATCACAGAGTTATCGTTAATATTACTATTACTACCTATATACGCTGGTCTTCCCCAAGGAAGTTTGCTATCACCTACACTTTTTCTTTTGCATATTAATGACATGCTGCAAATTAGCAGTATTCATTGTTATGCGGATGACAGCAAGAAGGACTCCACCTATAACGGTCGTGCTAATATTTCTCGGGAAAGCGTCATCGAGAGCCGGAATCAACTTGTGTCTGATATTGAATATTCGTTAATGGAAGTCTCTAACCTAGGTCGACTTAATGTGGTCCACTTCAACCCTACTAAGACACAGGCTTGCCCGTTTACCGCCAAAAAAGCCCCTTTTGTCGTATCACTTCGCTTTCAAACCATTCCCCTAACTGCCTCAGTCAATATTAAGATTCTCGGTGTCGACATATCGAGCGAGATCCAGTTCCGTGGTCACTTATAGGATAAGGCTAAATTAGCATCTAAGAAGGTTGGTGTGCTTAATAGATCGAGGCAGTATTTCACTCCGTCGCATCTTTACAAGGCGCAGGTTCGGCCCCATATGGAATACTGTTCTCATCTTTGTGCAGGGTCACCCCAATACCAGCTTCTCCCTCTAGATCGCATTCAGCGGAGAGCGACTCGAATCGTTAATTGCCGGGACACTTCAAGTCGGCTTGATCCACTAGCCCTGCGTAGAGATGTTGCTTCACTGTGCATCTTCTATCGCATTTATTACGGGGAATGCTCCGAGGAATTGTTCGGACTCATACCTGCCGCTACTTTTCGCCATCGTTCCACGCGACAAGAAATCCACGCCAATCATCTGGATGGTTGAAAGTCCTTAACTGAGCGTTTTTCTAGAAGTTTTCTGCCTCGCACAGCTAAACTCTGAAACAGTTTGTCGCCAGCGGTATTTCCGGACCGATAAGACCTTCAAACTTTCAAGCGTAGAGCATATTCGTCCCTCAAAGGCCGGCAGCGCGCTTGTAGCTCCTCTGATGTTGCAGGTGTCTATGGGCGACGGTAATCACTCACCATCAGGTGATCCCTCTGCCCCCTATTCCATAAAAAAAAACAAATTACTACTAAGCTGGCTACCAAGCAAGCAATAGGGCATCAAGATAGATACATAAACTACAAATCAAATCTGACTGTGACCAAGGTCCTAAAAAAAATGACGCAATAGATCTTCTCAAAAGATGCTTTCCCTAAACGTATTGCATTAAACCATAAAACAGAATTACTTAAATCGGTGATTGAATGTTAATAGTTTTTAATAGAAATGAAAGTTGGATTATAGCATCGATATTATATAAAACTGTTTTATAATAAACATATCAGCAAGTTAAATTAGTCAGTATGCTTATTCCTACATATAATATTATTTGATGTAAATTTAATTTTAATTATATACCCAAAACAATATTTAAAAGTTTAAATTATCTGCGTAAACGGTGACTCCAAGGACATAACGTCATTTGTGGGGTAAACAAAAGGAATTTTCAGGGAAAAACAATAATTATAGTATTCATTACGTATAGTCAAATTCATAAATAAATAATGCAGAATCTTTGGAGGAGGCCTATGCCCAGCAGTGGGCGTCTCTCGGCTGAATTGATGATAATGCAGAAGAACAAAAAATTATATGTGATCTCAGCATAATAAGTCGCTACGTCACTTTCTTGATTTCTCCATGTCAATCCTTCCGGTTTTCTTTCACATATAAAAGTAAATTAAACTTCAAAACTCAACAAAAAAAGTCATATTCTATTTGTGTTTTTTCGTATTTTTAGTGCTTTATTTTTTTAAAACTACTTTCTCATTATTTTGTCAAAATGCGGATAGACGCATTAGCAATTTGCGGGGATTAAATCGGAGCTCAGTTGTTGTCTAGAGTATTATTACAGAATATACTCCGTAGTATTATGTTCCTTGGTTGACACGGTGTATAGTGTCGTATTTGAGTATTGTATGCAAGGCGTTATATCAAGTTGTATTGTTGATCGGAGAAAAAGTAAAAATAATTTAAGTTTCATGAACGCATTATAATTTTGCTTATTGAATGTTGGTACTACCAAATAAGCGCGGTAAAGATAAAAATGATAGATATTTGTCGATGGTCAAAACTATTGTCTAACGCCCGGTGCCGACTAGACCCAATTTGAATGTGCTGTCACTGCACAGAGGGGCGAGAAGGTCGAAATGCTGGCATTAAATTATTTGACGACTAAAATTGTGGTAATAATTCTTTATATATTTTTTAATTTCCACGCAAACTGGAATTTTACTTTTATCTATTTAAACATTGTTTTCCTAGCACAATATCTAAGTTGAGACTGAGTGATGTCAAATTGGGCCTATTATCTTACTGTAATAATGATAATAATAACAATAACAATAGTAATATTTACTGTCTAAAACATTTACATTCTCAGTACATAGGTTGAGATCCTCTTTTAAGTGCTAAAGCAGGCGCTTGTTCCAGGGGATCTCGCTCCTCCTTATCAGAAAGTATTGACAAGACTTAAAATATAATAAAGTTAAAATCTTTTTAATTTAAATTAGTAAGTTTGTATTTCTCTCTCTCTCTCTCTATCTCTGTGTGTGTGTGTGTGTGTGTGTGTGTGTGTGTGCGCGCGTGTATATGTGTGTGTTTGTTTGTTTAACAAAAATTCAGTTTCGCCATAGTCAAGCGTTCCAAGCCAGATTTTTATTATTACTTTACAGTCTTGTTTATTCATCGGATATGGTAAGTTATTGTTTACTTTATTTGAGCAAATGTTGCTCAAATAAAGTATTCTTTTTGTCTTAATATTCATGTCAAATTCTAGAGATATGAGCATTCTCAATATTGTATGATAAATATACAATTTTCTAACAGTTAACAGGTTACCGATTTGGTACAATTGCGTAGTAGGAAATCTGAAATTTTTAAAGTACATGACCTTAACAGCGATCTCTGAGCCCTTTCCACTTATAATAATTTAGTTTTAGTACTTTCTCCCCATACAGGGATACAGTAATCCAATACAGACTGTACAAGACCCAGGTAAATTTTTTTGAGAAGAAGTTTGTCTCCAACTTATCTTAGTTTTTTAAAAATACATATGAGTTTTGTTACTCTGGCTGTTGCCAAATCCAGATGTACGTTCCAGTTTAAATGTTTGTCTAACACATTTCCCAAGTATTTATGAGAAGTCACATTATTAATTACGTCACAGTTACAGTTGTCATTATTGAGGTCACCATACTTATGTATTTTGATTTGAAATCTGCTTTCTGGTATTACTGTATGTATTTTTTCACCTTGTTTATGTTTTATTTTTTGCTTGATTTATCTTTGTATAACGTTAGAACCAATTTATAACGTAGAATTGAATTTCAAAAAATATTTTTTTATGCGTTGAACATATATTAACATTGTCAGAGCGCTAAATTCTCTCGACTGTAAATACCTTATTCGTTTGAACTAGACACGGCAAGCCTAGTCGATGTCAGACTTAATGAGAAAATCGTATATTTATTTGTAATGAGCAACGAAGCTTATAAAATTAGCAATTCTTTTTATTAATGTCTGTCGTGTACCTAATTAATGAATAAACACGTTCTTTATGAGGAAGCATTTAAAAATAAACGGTACATAACACGAAGCGATTATATCGAAGGAGATTTCCATCGTGAAGTCAGTTTTTTCTTTACTAGTAAATATTTTTAGGATTACATAGCTTATAATAGCCTTTACTCACAAGTATATTCTTTACATGAATTTGAAATTGACCTACCCATAAATAAATTT